CCCCTTGGCTGCTGCAAGCACCTCTGAGGGAAAGCCGCCCTCAAGTTCGCCCGCTGCCAGACAGTCCAGTTTCTCCCCGTATGAGTCCTGGGTCCCCAGAGACTTCCCGGAACTGGAGTTCAGAGCAGTCGGGAGCTCGTGACTCCCTCCAGATTCAAAAAGACAGCCACGTCCTCAGGTGCCAGACCCTTTCCGCACACGCGAGCCCCCTACCTCTGCGCTTTGCTTCTGCAGTTCCTCTGGCTCTCAGTGTGCTTTTCTTTCCTTCTAGTTGTAGAATTTACACTCAGCCAGCCTTCCTGTGGTTCTGGATGATGTCCATATTGTGTTTTTGAGGTACTATTCAATTGTTGTGAGAGGCAGCAATTTCCCGGTGTTTATCTATTACGTCATCTTAGTTTCTCCCATGTTTCTCTTTTATTAGATAGGATTATTAACTGAGTTAAAATTTCAAACTAGGATTTATGGTCATAGTCAACGTGGTACATTATAACTTGAATAGGTCTGATAGGAACAAAAAAACCAAATCAATTTAGCACTCTCATCACATAAATTCAAAATGAAACTGTCTATAGTGTTTCTGATATATCAGAGGTAGGACGATCCACTAAAAATCCTCTAACACTAATCCTAACCCAATGCAGTAATGGTTGGAATAATGCTTCTGTGATACAACAGTGTCAACAGCCATGGATAATGGAGGAAGAATGAGATAAATGTGGAACAAGATTTAAGTAGCAATTCATTTTTCAGTTTAACTAATTCAATCCTATTTCATTGATAGCAAACATAAGATTTTACATAAAGTTAGGCATATTTAAAGTTCTTTTCAGATTTGAAAAGTGGATAGTTATAAACTTTTAAATTTATAATATGTAAGATTTTTACTAAATAGTTTTAATTTTTCTGATTTGTTAACAATTAAAATTGATTGAGCTGATTTTATGTTTTTATTTATAATTTAGAAATTCTAGTAGCAGCAGATACTTTATAAAACTACATAGCTGTTTGAAAGACACAGACATTCACATCAATGGAAGTGAAGAACTATTTCTGAATGTAAGTTTACTTAATAATTTCAAATGTGCAATACAAGGTTATATTAAATACAGACCAAAATTACAGAAAAGAAAATCAACAAATGTTTTTCAACAATTTTAGAAAGACTGAGCTAAATTCTTAGAACAAATTTAAAAGGTATCAGAGAAACACATTCTAGACTGAACCAGTTATTAACTTTTCAAATTTTCATGCTCTGAGCTACCATTCAACGTTTTAAATATGAAAATGAAACATCTTTCAGAAAACCTATACAATAGAATAAAATAAACAATTATAAAGGCATATATTTTATATTTGCCCACATAACAAATTGCATTTTATCTTAATAATAATTTAATGCAATCAGGAAAATGGTTCATGAAAAGACATTTTCTTGTTACAAAGTAATACTCTTTCCATAAAAGCAAACAGATCTCATTTGTTAAAACTAATTACATTTTATAAAAATATTAAAAACCCTTAGAAAAATTATCTCATTTGAAACAATGCTTTATACCAGAGTGTGCCACACAGATATGCTTAAAAATTCAGCCTATACAGTCCATTCAGCTGTGAATGTGAACACACAGGACTATTGGGGGAAATACTGAATTTCTAATACTCATGCCTGTGTCGCTGGCACAGCTGCTTTCATGCTCATTAATCATTCCAGGGTAAGGACTAGCAGGAGAATTATGGTTCCTGTGCCTGGGCCATATAGAGCATAGCTTGTCCAAGTTCCTTCACATATTTTCTCAGATCAGGTTTTCATTATGTTTTATGGTTTGAAACCCTTTTAAAATGTGCTCTGGGCATTTCCCAGCTCCTTTCTAAAGCTGGTTAAGGAGAGGACAGGCCTCCAAAAATGGGGAGCTCCCAGCGAAGGATGTTTTACAAAGAATTCTTCAGGGTCCTCCACACCCCCACCCTCCACCCTCAAAGACTTTGACTTCAGAATGAATTTCTACCCAAAGGCCATCACCAGCATGCCGAAATTGGCTGGAAATACTGTAACTTCTTTGGGTCAAGACTGCATTCTGACATTCTCAGGAACCTAACATACTGAGTTAGACCATATCTCTGGAAAATGAGGGCAAATCTCAAACACACCAAGTATTGGTTGATTTTTCAGAGGATGTACCTTGCTGGCATTGCCCAGTAAGACAGACCTTGACCCTCAAGGACCTGCATATTAAAAACAAAGTGGCAGCCGTGATTGGTTTGGCTCAGTGGATAGAGCGTCGGCCTGCGGACTGAAAGGTCCCAGGTTCGATTCCAGTCAAGGGCATGTACCTTGGTTGCGGGCACATCCCCACTGGGGAGTGTGCAGGAGGCAGCTAATCGATGTTTCTCTCTCATCGATGTTTCTAAATCTCTATTCCACTCTCTTCCTCTCTGTAAAATATCAATAAAATATATATATATTTTAAAAGTGGCATTTTCTCCAGCTGTGTGACCATCAAGTTCCATTTTGTAGTCCCTTTGGATAACTGGATAACTGGCAAGATTCAAAAACAGCACTTTCAGAACTTGGATAAGCCATACTCTATATGGCCCAGGCAAAGGAACCACAGTTTTCCTGCTATTCCTGATAATGAGATCTTGGCCACACAAAAAATATAGTTTAGGACACAAAAATCACTATTTTTATGTTTACCTTCTGTCTAACGGTACAGGCTAAATTAGAAAACCGACATCTATTTTGAGCACAGGAAACCAAGTAATTTAACCCACACTTGGCTTTTGAAGAAAAAAAAGGACGTTATATATGTCTGAAAAGTGGTATCCATACCATACACAAATGTAAAAGTCAAGGTATTGTATTATCTTTTCAGTTTGGTTAATGTTTCTTTCAAAATGCCAAGAATCTGAAAGAGTTCTCCAAGACTGTTTCATTAGCATCATTCACAAATGTTTTTATACTGTTGGCCTTGGAATAAGGTGGGGATTAGGGTTGCTCACCCCCATGCAGTATAACTTTTGACTCTGTAGTTGACCCTTCACATCTGCAGAGTCAACCAACCAGTTATGGAAACTGTTTTAGATCCGGTGTTGGGAATCTGTGGTTGGGGATGCATCATCCGTGGTTAGTTGAATCTGAAGATGTTAAACCTGCAGTTATAAAACAAGTCTGCATATAAGTGGACCTGCACAGTTCCAACCTGTACTTCTCATCTCACCTGGAGCCTGTAGGCTGGAGAAGTCACCTTCAGGTGATAAATTGACAGCAAAGGATCAGGATCATGTCATAGATCTTGGCTTTTGTTTTAAAGACTTATGCTTGCCACTCCTATTTGGCGCACAGACCTGCAGCATCAGCACCTCTTGGAGTTTTGTTTTAAAGAAATGCAGAGTCTCAGGCCTGCCCAGATGGACGGACCCAGAAGCTGCACCTCCAGAGAATCCATCAATCCAATTTAATTCCTTCACAAAATCCCTGCGTGATTTGAATGGACTAACTCACCAGGCCACAGAAGTCATAAACTCTGGAATCTGGCAAGTTTTATTTTCCAGGTTGATTATCACCGGGTGCAGCAGAAGCTGGGCATCCACCGTCACCACTGGTCTCGCTCTGGAGAGAGAAAACACAGGATGTAAATGAGCCCCGGGAGCCATCAGCAGAAGCCCACCCCACTTCTAGAGGCCAGCGCCAACATCCCCACTTTGTGTCAAGAATTTTCCTCACTGCTTCAGCAGGTGGGCACCAGACTCAAATAATGACATCTGGGAGTTGGCGGACACAAATAAAGGATGTCCTGCCCCAGCAAGGAAAACCGCCTTCCACACCTGCTTTGTTTATGGAGTGGGTGCCTAGCATTCTGGCAAGATTGTTATGAAATACTGCTCTGGGATCTGCCACTATATCTATATCTACCTTACTGCTTGCTTATTTTTTTTAGTTTCATCAAGTTTTCTAGCCATGCTTTACAGATTTAACTTCATATACAACAGTGGTTCTCCTGACTATATAATATAAGCATCCAGGAGCTTTAAAACAGGTAATATCCTCCTCCCACCCCTTCCACCCCACACACACAGGCAAATCACTAGGGTCACTGGGTCAGGATCAGGCACTAGAACAGTGGTTCTCAACCTTCCTAATGCGGCGACCCTTTAATACAGTTCCTCATGTTGTGGTGACCCCTAATTTCATTGTTACAAATTGAACATAATTAAAGCATAGTGATTAATCACAAAACAATATGTAACTATATATGTGTTTTTCCGATGGTCTTAGGCGACCCCTATGAAAGGGTCGTTCGACCCCCAAAGGAGTCACGACCCACAGGTTGAGAACCGCTGCACTAGAAGGTTAAAAAACCTTCCAGGTGATTCTACTGTGCAGCCAAGTTTGAGGAGAGGGACTAATATAAACTCAATTAAAGTCATAACCAGATGAGAATGTAAGTCACAGGGAAAGGGGACAGGACAATTTTTAAACCTTGGTTCCAAGTCTTCAGATAACAACATGAAATGCTGCTGCATCGCATGGGTTTTTCTCTGACAGGTCGGAGGCTGTGCCTTGGGCAGAGATTTGTTTAGGACACTACTTTAAACAATTTCAGGATTACAATGATGGGTCCACTGGGAATTTTCCTAAACTCTGTTACCTTATTTATTTGTAGTCTGTTATATAATTGTGCTTTCAATATTTTTTTTGGTCTTTTTTTGTTTGTTTTGTTTTTTGTTGTTAATCTTCACATGAGGATATTTTTTTCCCATTGCTTTCCAGAGAGAGTGGAAGCAAGAGAGGAATGGAGGGGGAGAGAGAGAAACATCAGTGTGAGAGATTCACATTGCCTGGTTGCCTCCCACACACACTCCAACCAGAGGTCAGGGAGTGAACTTGAAATCCAGATATGTGCCCTTGACTGGGAATTGAACCCATGGCCCTTTGGTGTGTGAGCTGACGCTTTAACCACTGAGAAACACCAGCCAGGGGTGTCTTTAATACTGTGTTGTTAGCTCCAGTTCTTGGAAAAGTAGGTGATAAGACAGGATTAGACATGCAAGACATTTAGGAGGCAAACATTATGAGAAAAAAATGGGTGAGAGTGGAGGAGGCTGGGAGCCAGTGACCAGACTGTGATGCGGCTGATGCCTGTGAAGGAGCGAGGGAAGAAAGGGTATAAAGTAAGGAGTTCCAGCCAGGGCACGGGGAGCCAAAGCTGCGGTTAGAGAAGCGCCAGGTTTCTCAGGGATGCGCCTGCGTTTCTATCCCTGCTGCGCCCAGGGATTGGCTGGGAGCAGCTCATGGAACACCTGACCTTGGCCAATGTGGTGGTGGATTCGGAGCATAGCGCCTGCGGCCAGTCAGTCTCTCTCCATAAGCTCTGTTGAGTGCATCCTCGTGGCCACAACAAACACAGCCTCATCCTCTGGTGCTTTGAGCAGTTCACTCATCTGATTGTCTGTAACCTGAGTGGAGCGTGACTAACATAAACTGGCGCTGAGTGTGCTGGGGCTGGTGAAGAACATCTTGCCTGTGAGGAAACCTAACCTTAGGGTCTCCCTAGGAATTGAGCGAGGTTAGCAGTATGTGCCTAGGACACCTGGAGCAGCTCTCTGCCTTTGATATCCTGGCCTAGTGTCCTCCATCCTCATATACTTTTTTTTTTTAAGAAGAAAAAGAATCTAAAAATGTTGAGCACTTGTCTACCAGTTACTATTCTTGTACTTTGCATGCAGATTCCCACTTAATGCTTTTTGACAAAAATAGACTTATAAAGTAAATATTGTTATCCCAATTTTATGGATGAAAAATGAGAGGCGCAGAAGGATGAGAACTTGGCCAATATTACAAACTGTGAGTGTGTGCGAATGGCCAGGTTTTTGAAGCTGACTGATCTGTCACATTTGAACTGATGTTCAATACTTGCTATTGGAGGCTACGAATTCCTGTTATTTTCTATTCCCTAATTTAGTGTCCTCACTTTTCTATAGAGGGCATGCTTACATTCTCCCACCACACATTCCTTCTCTATCAGCACATTTTAATGCTTTTATAAAGCCAAGGGAAGCATGTAAACACAGTAACAACAAAAAAAGTTTCACTTTATAAGTTCATATCTTCTTTTTATTTTTTTTAAGTCCTCATCTGAGGATAGGTTTCCACTGATTTGAGAGAGAGAGGAAGAAGAAACATCAAACATTGATGTGAGATAGAAACATCGATTGGTTGCCTCCCCTGTGCATTCCAATGGGTGATTGAACCCACAACCCAGGCATGTGCCCTGACAAGGAATCAAACCTGCCATCTTTTGACATACGGTGCAATGTTTCAACCAACTGAGCAATACCAGCCAGGACTCGTATATTAACATTATGTTAGTAGGGGCTGGAAGTCTGGTCAAGAGGTATGAGAATAAAAAGATAGAGGGATAAATGACGGGAAAAAAATGAGAGCAAAAATGTCTCCAAATTTTAAATAGAGCATCTAAATGTTCTCCAAAATAAATAGTTGGGAAATACTCTTTAAGACAAAACCAATAACAAAAAGGAAGTGCATTTGAAACAATTAGAAAAGCACATCCATTAATGGATGGAAAAAGAAAATCTGGAGTATTACACAATAAAATATTATTCAGCCATTGCAACAACATGGAAGGACCTTGAATGCATTATGGTAAATGAAAAAAAATCAGAGAAAAATACCATATGACCTCATTTATATGTGGAATCCATAAAAAAAACATAAAAAAAGAAAACGAACATAGATACAGAGAACAGATAGATGGCTGCCAGAAGTAGCAGGGGTTGAGTGGGGCAGGGGCAAAATGGGTAAAGGTGGTTAAAAGCACAGACTTCCATTTATAAGCTTAAATAGGACTTGCAATGTACAGTGACTTTAGTTAATAATACTGTATGTACATTTGAAAGTTGCTAAGAGGGTAGATCTTAGCAATTCTCATCACAAGCAAAAGAAATTTGTTACTATATGTGATGATAAATGGTAACTAGACTTATCATGGCGATCATCTCACAATATATACAAATATTAAATCATTATGTACACCTGAAACTAAGATAATGTTACATGTCAATTATATCTCAATTTAAAAAAACATTTGCATACCACCAACCACATACCTATAAACAGCTACTTTTCCTGTTCCGAATGCACCCACAATTAAATCTAAAAAAGACAAAAACACATGCACAAATTTTATAGAAACAATTTACCTAAGCTTATCATCATAAATAGCATGCAGAGCATCCTGAAATGCCGATTGTAAGATGACAGTCATAGAAATAAGCACAGCAAATTCTAGAAAGCTGGCCTTCCTCATCACATTTTAGAAAGGACATTGGAAATTCACTGTAACTGTTCAATAAGACACATGAGCCAGTAGATTTCAAATCCTTCTGAACTCAAGAAGGCCAGCTTTCTAAAAATGCTTAAGAAACTCATCATAACACTACCTCCAGACTTAAGGCACGTATCCTTAAGGAAAGAAAAGGGGGAAAGCATGGGTATAGTGCCTACTGCGTACTAGGCTTTTAAGTAGGGTGTTCCTAAAAAGTGTATACACACACTTTGAATAACTATAAAGGCAGTGCTTATTAAAATACATTTAATTTTCAAAATTTAGCTATCAGCTGTTACATTTTGGGGGACACCCGGTATATTGTTTTATTATTCCCCTACCAGCAACAACTCTATGAGGCAAGTGGTATTACCAATGAAGTGGCACATTTTGACTGTCATCTTGACACAACCATTTGCCCTTTACAAATATATACTTTTGGCAAAGTGATCAGTAGTATATATAATAATTAGCATAGCATTATAATGATCTCAAATAATGACAACAATGATAATAACACATATTGAACGCCTACTACAGGCTAGAAATTTTTCCAAAACATTTACCTTAACTGATTCCGAGCAAGAAGTTAGGAAGACTCTATTATTAGCACAACTTTGCCGATGAGTACACTGGAGCTTAAGGAGGCTCACCTATAAGCTCACACAACTCTGGGAGAGGTAGAGCTGGGGTACAGCAGTCCTAGACGATTTGAGGGGCAATGCTCACAGTGATCTCAGCGATTGGCTAATATACAGGCATAACTCTGTTTTTCTTATTCTAATTTATAACGGTTATTCTTGGTGGGTGTAGTCAAACAAAAATAAAAATGAGGATGGCTAAACATGCAGAATAAAGTTTAAATGTAGAGGTGAGAGTGCTGGATGTGGTAGAAATAGTGGCTGTAAGAGAAAACTTACAGTAGTTGAAACTATAATTGGTTATTCTAGAACAGAAGTAAAAATGAAAAAAAAAGAAGAGGGGGTACTATATTTGACCATTGCATATGGAAAAGCAATCAAGGAATTAAATTGGATTGATGGAGTTTGCACAGGAAAATGATTTGTGGTCATATTCCCTCTACACTCACTTTTCTGGGACATAGAATGGTGTCAGACTCAAGCAACTATGATTCTCTTCTGGATGCTTCTCTTGCTGTGCCAAGATGGATAGAAATTGGAAAGTAACTAGGAACTATGGCTCAACCTTATGAGGTAAATAGTATCACCAGTGAAGTGGGACATTGCTTCTTTACCCCTCACGAGGGATGACTCTGAGCATGTACTTCTGAGCATGTCTCCCAGATTTCCCCAGCTAGATAGAGCCCTACTTGCCTACAGTGTCAACCTTTTTATAATAATCTTTTCTTACATCCTTCCTTTCCACATCTCTCTTCCCTACTCCCTTAGCAATGTTTTCTTTTGATTATTTCTCAAATTGCTTCTTTTCTAATCCTTGTCTTATTGTCTTGGAAGAAGCCAACCTAAGACAATAATCCTTGTTTAAAATGTGTGTGTGTGTGTGTGTGTGTGTGTGTGTCTTTAAATGGACTTGAACATCTTCAGGGTTAAAACCATGGCCAGAATGTCTTTTGTTTTATCCATACAGAATCCGATTCCAGTAATAGCCCAGGACTGGATTCCAAAGCTCCATATTTTAAGAGATGTGAGCGCTAATGTTCAAATACTTCAAATTAAGGTGATCTAAGGATCTCTGTATCTGTGAGATTAAAGAACACATTAAGAAAAGGGCTACAACTTGCCCAACTATAGTTCATGGAATAAAATATTCTTTTCCAAGGGTTCAAATCTTTGAAGCCAGAGCCAAAGTTTCTAAGTCTACAATTTTTAAAAATCATATCAGAATTGCACCTTTTTCAAAAATTTCTGTTATATCTATTTCTTCCAGTGTATCAGTGCCTTTTTACTATGTCAGAGAAAAAAGAGCTACTGACTTGAAGAAACCTGAACTGTTCTTCCTGTGTGATCATGGGCTCCAATATTTAGACAAGTGCAACACAGGTGGCCCTTGGCCGGATACATATCTGTTGACATGACACCAGACAGGAGAGTTCCATTATGAAAACTCATCAAGAGGAATTATGTGCTTTACTTTTTGTTCCAAATAATTATATACCAAGATTAGATGTTTTATAAATAGCATGAATTATAAGAACGGACTCTCTGGAAATGGCAAAGAAAACAGGACTGCAAGCTCATCCAGGGCAGGAATATTTCTTCAGGCTTTCATATCACAAATACTTTACAGAATGGTATGGGTTGAAATAAAATAATCTTTGCATCCATAGTACCAGTTACAGAGCCAACTTCAGAGCAGGGATTTATAAATTTCCATAAAATACGGGGATAAGTAGTAATGAAACAATATCCTAAAGATGAGAAAGATGAAGGAATAAGACAGTTATTAAGACAGGCTAATGTAAACTATAGCTAAATTCTATTGGATTTTTGCATGCGCACTTGTAGGTATCAGGAAACATACACACACACACACACACACACACACACACACACACACTCACACACCAGATTCTAGAAAATTCTAGAAAGTAATATAGTGGCTGCATCATGATGAGATTGTCATTATAGATGAGAAGTTAACAAATACCTTCCTAATGGTCATGAGCAAGAGGCCTTTTTCTTTAGGAATGTTAGTTCCAGTGCCTTAGGGTGGGAATTTTCCTACTCTGGAAAAATAAAATAACTGGCAAAATAGGCCACAATTTTCTTCATGAGAATGTGGCCACAGTTATTCTCAGGCCAAGAAAACAATTATCTACCACAAGAGTATGTTTGTCTTTTGAGACACCACCTTGGTATTGTGCCTGCTGGAAAAGGCTGGAAGCATTTATGTTCAGAACCTCAAAGTTCCTAGGTCTCCCTAGGGGAGCAGGATGGATCTGCTGATCTGTGTTCGTAACTAGTTTGTCCTTACAAAATATGTGATTTGTTTTGATAAGTACTATGTAGTTTCTGTATACTAGTATATGTATTTAATGTGCTATATGTATGTTCCATATACATCTGCACTAATAAAAGACAAACATGCAAATTGACTGTACCTTTGCTATGCTTCAGGCCATGCCCACCAGCCAATCAGAACGACTATATGCAAATTAACCCAACCAAGATGGCAGCTGGCAGCCACGAAGCTGGAGCAAGCAGGAGGCTTGGTTGCCCCAATGATGGAGGAAGCCAAACTTCCCAGCTGCCAGGGCAGGCTCTGAGCTCCACTCAAAGCAACAAAATTTCAATTATAGAAGGTAAATAAACCCCAGATACCTGCTTTCAGCCAGCCGTAGACACGGTGCTGGAGAAAGCAGGAGGCTTCCATCCCGTCCGCCTTGGCCAGCTCTGAGCTCCTATCAACGCTACACAGTTTCAATTATAGAAGGTAAATAAATCCCAGAATAAAAAAATGAAAAGGAGTGGCTGGGAGCTTCCATCGCTGTGGGGGTTGGCCAGCTTGAAGACAGCCCTCAGCCCTTCATCCAAACTGGCCGGGCACCCCAGTGGGGACCCCCCACCCTAAAGGTGGTGTGGCCAGCCTGAAAACAGCCATCAACCTCACCCAGGGTGGCCAAACCTCCGTGCAGTGAGGGTCCCTACTCGGGGGGGCTTGACCAGCCTGCAAACAGCCATCAGTCCCTCACTCCAGCTGGCCAGGCACCCCAGTGGGAACCCCCACCTTGAAGGGGGTGTGACCAGCCTGCAACACCCATCAGCTCCTCACCCAGGCTGGCCAGACACCCCAGTGGGTCCCCCACCCTGATCTGGGACACCCTTCAGGGCAAACCAGCCAGCCCCCACAAGTGGACATCCACCAAGGGCTGCCGGGCTGCCAGAAGGAGGTCTGACTGCCAGCTTGGGCCTGATCCCCCAGGGAGCCAGGGAGCGGGCCTAAGCCAGCAGTGGACATCCTCCAAGGAGTCCCAGACTGCAAGAGGGCATAGGCTGGGCTGAGGGACCCCCCCAAATGCACAAATTTTGTGTACCGGGCCTCTAATATATTTATATTTGTGTATATACACAGGGTGGGGACAAAGTAGGCTTATAGTTGTTTGTATGGAAAACAATACAATAATAAGTAATAATACAAGAATAAATTGTGTTTCCTGTACTCACAACTATAAGCCTACTTTTGCTCCACCTTGTATGTATACACACATATATGTGTACATACATGCATAAACACACATTTTTTTGGTTCAAATGAATTGTTTTATTTCCATCTTTAACACCAGCAGAGGGGTCCAAAACACTCTCGCTGTGCTACATGGATGTAGTTTTAATGTAATAAAGAAATATTTTAACTATGAACAATAAAAAAGAAATTAATAAAAAAGAAATATTTGAACTATGTACATTGAGGAAGGGAAAGGAATTTCTTTTCATATCAAACTTTTCTTATTTTCTTGTTTCTGAATAGTAGACACAAAACATACCTTCCCTCCAATTTAATTCAGTATGAAGTAATACAACTTTTATGATCAACCATTTGTCTTTAAGCATAAAGACATATAGACATATACACACAAACACCTACACACAATTTACTTTTAATCTTGCAAAATTCTGTCATGGTCAGGAATTTAATGGCAGCCAGAAAACAAAGAAATGTTGGTGCTGATATTCAGGTACATAACTCTGCAAACTCTCTCCTTCACTTTGAGACAACAGGCCTTATACCATTACCTAATGTTTACTTTCTTATAGAAAGTTCTTGAAGGCAGATTCTGAAAACAAACACATTCAAAATGGTGCCTTTCTTTAAACAAAGATACCCATTTTTTTTCTTGAAAAAACTG